CAACACAGCGTCCTTGCAACAACTTCAACCATTATAAATACAACACAGCGTCCTTGCAACAACTTCAACCATTATAAATACAACACAGCGTCCTTGCAACAACTTCAACTGATGCCATTATAAATACAACACAGTGTCCTTGCAACAACTTCAACTGATCCCATTATAAATACAACACAGTGTCCTTGCAACAACTTCAACTGATGCCATTATAAATACAACACAGCATCCTTGCAACAACTTCAACTGATGCCATTATAAATACAACACAGTATTCTTGCAACAACTTTAACTGATGCTATTATAAATACAACACAGTATTCTTGCAACAACTTCAACTGATGCTATTATAAATTCAACACAGTATTCTTGCAACAACTTCAACTGATGCTATTTCTCTTTGATGATCTTGTTTTTTTAAATGTTTACTAACAAACAACAAAATGTTATTCTTCATATAGTGAAATTCAAGAAAGATCTAAATATAACTCTACAAGGTCATTAACATCTAACTTCATTCCTGGTATAGTTGAAAAGCTTACAGCAAGCAGTACTGGTCACAAGTCTGAGCTCCATCAAGGACAAGGAAAACAATTATTTTATATTACAAGTTACAGATTTGTACACAAGTTTCTTACTTACTGTAAAAGCTGTAATATAATTAATCAGAAAGTAACCTCAAAATGAAACAAAAAATTATTGTTTAAAATCTTGCAATAATGAAAGCCACTTTTGACAGCACATGGTATCTGTCTGTATTACATAAACATTGTTTTGTAGCTAACAATAACATTGTTATTCTCTTCACCAATAGTAACACTTTCATAAGGATACAATTGTTTTTCACATTTGTTTTAACGTGTTAACACTTTTATTTTTTTCCAGTCAAATGTAATGAATGACCAGAAAAGTGCCTATATCATCAGATGATTATGTAAAATGTAGAACTGTTGAAACTGAAAACAAAATATTTAGAATTAAACAATGAAAAGTGAGCAAGCAGAAATTGCTATTTACATAACAAAAGTTAATTACGTGTAATTCAAAAACGTGGTACTTCAAAGAGCATGGCTCAAAATATATTAAGGGCATTTGTAAAACTGAAAGTTTATAGTTTAGAAAAAAAAAGACACCCCACAAAAACATCAACATCGAGTCATTTAAAAACATCCCCAGAAATACAGGATGTGCTTGGAGTTTGAATCAGCAACAAAAACGTTCAAAAGTGGTTTCACGGAAATGGTCTCTCTCTCCATGGAAAAGTTCAAACTGAAAAACTAATTTTTCATGCATGAGCATAAAAGAATGTTTAAACTATGTAAGGGATTACAAAAGTTACAGGAACAAATGAATTGAAACAATGTGCTGCAGACTGAAAAAAACAACAATGGGTCACTTTTGAAGGCCTGGGAGTTTTTTTTGTGTGCAAATACACGAGTATGTAAGCAAAAAAAAAAAACTATTGGTCTATACTTAATGGTGTAAAAGAGATCAAAATATTGTCAAAACTGATAATATTATGAAGCAAGAGTTCATTATAGCAGTATGTTTTAGATCATTATTAAAGCCAGGGCCAATTATACATTAACGACTGGGTATTGCATGCAAACCAAGGTGTGATAGTATAACAATTATTTTGATGAGACAGAAAGAGCTGGTAATGTATGTTATGAAATGGCTAGCAAAAAGTCTTGATGCTACCCGAGTGGAAAATTTATGGCACCAGTTAAAAAGTAATGTTGTGATAAGGAAAGCTGACTGACTAACCTATAGCCATTTTCAGTGTACAGCAAAAATGTAAGAAAATACTGCTGCACCCACACTATCAATGGAGTTATATTGATAAGGCTACATGATGACCAACTGCATATTGATGAAGCAACCATGTTCCAAAATAAACTCCTTATGCCTAATATCGCAATACTGATTATGAATATAACATTTAAATCAAAAACATACTTAAGTTTTTCAACCTTGAAAAGTTCAGTGAAGGATACTTTGGAATCCGACTTTTGACTGACATTTTTCACTATTAGTTTGCCAGTCAATTTGAAATATACCGATCAAACAGCACACCATTACTACTTTGATAATATTTTCAACTTTGACAACAATATCAACTTTTTCGGGACACAAACCCACATGGAACAACACATTTGAATGATATGAAATTTAAATTGTAAGTTCTGTCTTAAAAGACAAAACAAAAAACATTGCTTTTGCATGTGTGTATATAATAGCACTAAATAAATATTTTATCAAACTCTAACAGTACTTTTGCCAAATAAGTTTTGTAGAAGCAAAAGAAAAAGAAAAAAAAAGGGGGACTCACCTCTCTATGGAAACTAACATTGAGAATATTTTTAACATTTCAGAACTTGAACCCTCTATACAGTGGACAGTTTCAAGCCATCAAAAGTGTTTCACAACACATTTTGGATTTAAAAGTACATTAAAACTGATACTCAAGATAATGCAAAACTGATAAAAGTTGTTAAACTCTAATGCTGTGATTCAAAGAACTTTGCAAACTTCAAAAAACTATATTCTTATTCGTTGAGTTTTTGTATAATTTCAAGCAGTTTAACAACTACAAAACTAGGTTATTGCATAAAGGAGTACAATTACTATCAGGTCAAATTTTAAAAAAGTCATTGAATGTTCACCAACACTGTCCAAGGATTCTGTGAACATTCTCTGAGGATATCCACAGATGTACAAACATGTCTGAGAATAATGTTCGTGGTTTTCCATGCTTATCTTCAGATAACTTTATAAAAACTTTCTATAAAGCTTGTAAGTTGAGTCCAAATATTCTGTGGTGTAAAACCACGAACGATATTCCAGGGAAAACCTTGGAAATTTGAGAGATATAATAATTTTTTAGATGCACTTCAAAATTAAATGTTTAGGTCAACAGGTCTAAAGTTTATCCCTATTTTTTGTTATCAAATATCTGTTGTATACATGTATGAAACTACTTTGATAAAGCTGATTATCACACAGTTAAAAACAAAGAACAATGACATTAATTTATTCAGTCTTGTGTAAATAATTCATTAGCACCCTCTCATTGTATCTGGTGAGGGGAGCGAGTCTTCTGAATTACAGGACAGGGCACACAATAAGGCATCTCTTGCAGTTACCACAATTCATCTAGCATTCAGAACTTTATTAACTTCAAGAATATGTGGTTCTCCCCCCCCCTTCTACTGTAATCATCTTTACCACATAAAAATATGTAACAGATTAGAATCGAGAGAGCAAATATATTTCAAACTTTTTTCACTTTTAAAGCCCTTACATCATGAATGCAAGAGTTCAGAGACATTAAATTATAATACCTCAGGTTACAAACAGTTTATTCTACCTGAATATGTTCAGGCCAGATGACGTGTTAGAACAGACAAACTCAACTTATTACTATTGAGACCAACTCGGTCAAACAGAACAAAAATATTATTATGATTAAATCCAAACAATAACTTAAGTCCAATTACATTACAAAATAATAGGATGCTTCAAAGGAACCATACACCTATACAATCTAACAGATCAATTACAGCACTGGTTAGATCACAGACAATGTAAACTTATTCCATCTCTATGTATTAATCCTAAAATACACCAGAATATAGCCTAGTGTGAATCACAGGTTATTGCTATGACACTCAAAACTTGTACCACCTCCATGAACTTTGTCTAGCAGAATACAGACTAAGCTGGGTCATAGGTTATTGCAATAACACAAAATGTAAACCATCTTCATGGACCTTATTATAGCAAGATATAGCCTTGGCTGGATCACATGATACTGTAACAACACTCCAAATATACACCATCACACTAGATCTGTTTCAACAGGATTTGTCATAGACCAAACCATATATGAAGGTTAATGCAACAACAGTATAAACCTACACCACATCTATAGATAAGAAAAAGATAAAGTGAATAAAATAATTTAGAAACGGCACTTAGTTGACCTAAAGTAAAGTTCCTGTCACATTATAAAATGCCTCTTAGTAGATCAATGTTTCAAATATCTGCACTTTAAAACTTGCGAGTTATCTTTAAATCCTTTTCTGATGTATACGACACAGCTTTAACAGATTAGTGGTTACTACATAACATTTACTAATAAACATATTCAAATAAACTTCTAATAGTTATCAGTGTATTAATTCACTGTAGAGTCATACAATTTTCTATGAGTGAATAAGTTCATATACTTTCACACCAGTTCTTTGAAAAATCCTATTGAATGGTCAAAGAGTAACTGACATCCTGAAGAATAACATCCGAGAACAAACAATGCTGAAACCACATAATATATCTTTGGCAACATGAACATGAAAAAAAAAAACCCAACAACAAAGGGGTTCATAACTATTGGGACTACTTCAAGTGACTTGCTATTAACAATAAGATTTTATCATTTTGTAAAGAATGGCTTATATACAGCTCCTGCAACATAATGCATTACTCTTGTAAGAAGAAATGCAGTTTGAAGCATATATTAGAAAATCTGTCCACGTCTAAATACAGTAATAATAATAATAATAACAAAAATCCACATCTTATCACATCAAAATCTCAAGCTCAAGAATTAACTTAAGTGCATCAATAAAAACTTTGTATAATTTTTTTTTACTTTTTCAAGAACAAGTTATATTCCGATATTTCCAACAGATGGTTGTAAGAAATTTATTAATGCCAGAGTATAACGATTGTTAAAAAATCATTGTTCTAGTTGATCTTCAGTAACATTGGCTGACAGTATGTTCAAATATATCTTTCTATGGACTAGAAGAAGGAATTATCCCATTATGCCGAGTTTTTCGGACACTGTCATCATTGACCATAGATGGATTAGCAGAGTTGGAGAGAGCTGCAGTTTTATCAAAGTCAATTGTTGCATAACCTTCTGGCTGCTGTAAGGGAGAGGTGGGAGGGGAAACAGGTGGTGACAAGGGAGATGCAACAACATTAGTTTTATCACTACTTTGATCTAGGTCTAGGATAATATAGTTCATTTGACTGTCAGATTCTTCTTTTGTGGTCTCATCTATACATGCCTTTTCCTCTTGTCCTTCAGAGGATGGGGATCCAATATTAGCATAAAGGTGACCTGTTGCACTGGTTGCTGGATGAGACACTGGTGAAGTAATACAGTTATTTTGGGATAAGTTATTAGAAGCTGTCTTGTTTATTAGGCCACACTTTGCAATAGCTGACCCATTTGATATATCAGGACTTATATTAACATAAAAATGTTCTTTTTGTTGTTTTGCAGTCTGCTCTTGTTTCAAGAGTTCATCTAATTTTGTATAGTTAGTGTTAAAATCAACACAATGTACACATGAAATAACACTACCTTCAGGAGGACACCGAGCCTGGCAATGACTAGCAAGTATGAAACCACAGGTTAAATGGCCACAAGGTGGAACATGACCATTAACATATGGGTGTTTCCCATGAAGTAATGAGCGCTTAACACATTTACTGGAGTTATCTTCGTTTACTATCGATTTCACATACTTATGTGCAACTGGGCTTGGAAAAGAAGCAGTGGAGCGAGACACATGAGCAAAGATCTCCTCATTCATGTAATGTGGGTTTGCAAGCCTAATGCTAGAACTTAAACTACACAGATTAGATACTCCTGCCTCATTTCCTAGCATTGTGGCAGTGTCTCGAGACTGCAAGGAATTTCCTGTTGTAGAAGTAACTGTTCCATTTCTTAAAATACAACAGCTTTCTACAGAAGCTCCAACTGACCTTTGAGGTGTTATTCCTGCAGATGTAGAAGCATTATCCCTGATTGGTTCAAGATAATCAGCAGCATCTAAGCCATGATGACCAAGATGACTAGCAATGCTCCCACTGGCTGAGAGAGAAACATCAACACCAGTTACATTGTTTTGGTCAGCTGGAGTCCCTGCCACACTTCCTCTTCCACTTCCACCAGTGTTCTGAATTGACTCTTGTAACACATTGAAAAGTAGCTCAGCCCGTCGACATTTAAAAGCATAAATTCCTGGTCCTGTAGGACAACGTCGACCACATTCAAAAGAGAACAGCTCAGCATCAAATCCATATCTCCGCAAACTGCGCAAAGGCCAACGAATTACACCTTTCCCATGCTGGTACAATATTAAGTCAGATTCAGTCACTTCAATTTTTCCAGCATTCAAGTGATTTCCTCGATCATCAATGTTCCACACCTATCGTTACAAAAAAATATCTATTACAAAGCCAATCTCTTTAAAACATAAAAGTACTAGATGTATCACAAGCTAGCTTTTTGTGTAAACAAAACCATGCTATCCTAAAGTCTATTTATTATTACACTCTAAAATACTGGGAAACCTTAAACACTGCATTTACTTGATTAAACAATAGGTGAAAGACCAAAATAAAAATCTATCCTGAAGTTATACAAAGCATTCAAAGAAAGTGGATTTGGGCTTTACCTTTGAAAATTATGTACACATGAAATTAAAGTTTCAAATTTGTGATGGTATCAGTACAAGTTAAAAAACAAAACAAGACAAAATCTAAAATGAATACATATGAATGGAAAAATGAAAGCAGTATAAGTATGGTTGAAAAAACAAAACAATAGATAACATTTGAAAGGGTTATTTATGTACAGTTGGTTTATAAGTTGCACATCAAATTATTACAGAATTTCTAAAACATGGTGAATATACCAAAATTACTATCATAGTTGGAGATAAAACATTATTTATGTAAAAAGCAGTTCATTAAATAACTTTCATACAATTTTTACTGGCAGAGAGGTTTTAGTTTAATTTTATCTGTATTTCAGAACATGTGCACTGTACATTCAGGCTGACATGTATTTAGTAAATTAACTTTCAGGCTTATTGTTAAAGAAAAAGATAAGAAATAGTCAACAATTGCTTCATAGGGCAAGACAAGAGAAAGAAATGTAACGAGTAAAATGTATCCAGTAATATAACATGCTACATTTTGTATTAATCAATACATAAAGACATTACATTAACTTTTTTCTGAAGAAACAAGTAATGAGTTAATTTCTTTTTTTATCAGTAATGTACCCAACACTGATTATCACATATAATGAAAAGAACTCTAGGAGTTTGTGTTGAAAATACAAGTTCTCAGAACATATAACATAAAAATTTACACACAGAAGAAACAGATTAGATTTTAAAAGGTTTACCAATGAACATAATATGCTAATCACATTACTTACAAATTTCCAAATCTGGCATTACACCAAACATGTAACAGGTTTGAATGAAGTTGGAAAGTATTATGTCTTAACATACAAGCTACTGTAGTGTAAGATAAAAGTGTATATAACAAATTAACACCAAACAAGATTTCTTAACTTACATAAAGATATATATATTGAAATGGGTTGACTGTTTTACACATATACTAGGAAATATATAATTATATTTCTCAAAAACATTTTCATATTTTTAACATTACAAACGTATAAAGAAACATATATACATTGACTAGTCAATTTATTATGATTTCCCAGCTAATATAGTGTTGGGGCACATTTCATTATTATATTAGCTAAAACTCAGTGTGGCATAGGCTTCATAAGATTCTTGTTTGGCTGTAGCCCACTGGATAGTGCTTGTCCATCAGAGTAGAAATGTGTAGTAACATCAAAACACATAACAGATGTTAACAATTCTTCTAAAAATATTAATATAAAAAATAACTTTCACTATCACCACTTCTAGCAGCTTGGACTGCTAAAACAACACATGTGGTTTTGCTACATTTTTAACAAAGATGAAAGAAACAAGAATCACTAGATCACACAATATGCTTCTAGCCACTCTTTTCTCACAACCTGCGTTTTATCAGTCTTCTTTTTCTTTGGCTTTTCCATTTAGCAGGGGTTGCCATCCTTCACACATGTTGCTTTCTTCCAATCATCTCTGTTCACTGCCAGGTCTTCCGTTATTCCTTTCTTATCATGTCCTTCCAACACTCTACAGTCTTCTCTTGCCAGCTACTGGCAGCTCTAATGCTCTCCTTATTTTTTTGTTCTTCCTCTCTTCATGTGACCAAACCACCTCAGCTTTGTTTCTCTTGCCTGCTCCTTGATTCCACAGTCTCCTGCCATTTTCTTATTCATTCTCTTATCTTTCAGCCATGCTTCCAACAGATCTTGTGCTTTATCTGAATAAAGGTGACAATCCTAGGGGTTGTGCTATCAAGAACTTATCCCTCATTTGGAGACTGATTGCAGAAGGTAGAGAAGAGTTCCTTTACTGGAGTTATTAGTGGTCTGGATGTATACTGGTGAATCTCCAATTCTTGTTTTTCTTAGCTACACCATATGGTATTTTGTTTTCCTGCAGTTTAATCTCTCTGAATGCTGATGAAGACCTTCCATGATTGCTGCTTTCACATCACTACTCCAGGGAAGATAGACATCCTGCCAGTAGTTATGCTAGTTTTGATAAAGAGGCTTCTCATGTAAACTTGTTAGTTTCCTCATTTCTTGTCCTATCACATACATCCAAATGATAGCTTTACCATGCAACTGGTTTGCTTTCTGCCATCCATCTATCTGGGACTATATACTCCAAATTTTATACAGTACTGCCTGCGAGTCAATTTCAAATATTACATTGGTGGCACTGGCTAATTACTTTCAGCAATCCAGAGGATTGCATGCTTTCCAGCTCCATCTCTATGCAATTTGCACTTTAAGCACCACTGAAATTATGCTTTCCTGTTTATAACAGAGATAAGCTATTTATAGACTAGTTGAAAACTGTGATATAAGGCAGTTTTCTTAATGCTATGGTTGGACGTAGTCAAATTCTGGCTACTACTTAAAGAATTAGTCTCTTGAAACTTATTCGACTGTCCAATTAAATTTACTCTGGGTCATTTAACAGTGAATTGTGGCTACAATTTTTCTAGTTACAGATGTATTCCATTTTGATTGCTATTGTTGGTGGATTCTAATGACAGGTATCTCTGAAGAACTGGTCAAAAATATTAATTTTTTTATAAACAATTTTTTTTACTACTATGAACCTATGAAAGTCAGAAATATCATTGCTTTTACCGACTGGTTTTCAAACAAAACATTATATGGAGTATATGTTCTATATATATATGACACACACACATACATACATACATACACGTGTGTCTAGCTGTTCTAACAAAGCAGTTAGGAAGTGTATCGTATATGATTTGTAAATCTTGAAATCAAATATTGTTTCAATGAAAAAGTAAAGCAAAATAATGAGCAAATAAAAATATCTATTTTAGAGGTAAAAACAACTTTTAGAGCATAGCAGAAAAACAAATATGGAAATTATCTTTAGAATTGCCACAATAAAAAACAGGTGTAACTGGGTGACACATAAATTTAAGAAATAACTCGACAATACTCAAAACAGCTTAATCAAGCCATCGTCACTTGTGACAGTAGGCAAACTTAAGGACAACATTTTTCCATGGACCTTTCACATCCACAGCTTTCCTCTCATCAGTCACTAATAACTTCATCCACTTGATGATGTCACTCCATCTAGTCCTCTGCCTTCTTCTTCTTATACAACCTATTGGAACCATGCCAAAAATGACATGATGCTTGAGCAAAGGAGTTGAAGTCCTTGAGACTTGACCAAAGTATTATAAATTCTGTATTTAAACCTGACAAACCAGCATACACTCCAGGCAAAGCTGCTCTAACACCAACTTGTTTGTACATCTCTCTTTCCAGGAAGCTTTACATAACCATCAATAACACCACATCTCAAGTTGCCTGACACCTGCTGCTTTCAAAGTCCATGATTTGGACCCATGTGATATTACAGGCATATAAGAGCACAGACTTACTAAATATGGTTGTGTTACATATAAATAAAAGCATCAAAGGCACTACATGTTTAAACTTACATTGAATATATTCCTTCGGTCATCCAGACTTGTTCTAGATGACACACATCCCATGGTGCCACACTAATAACATACTGTTATCTGGAAAAACCAAAAAATGATGTATGATAAGTTTTAGAAATATATATAAAATTATTGCATTTTTATCTTATTTTTTTTATGTGTCCTTAAATTTATTAATGGGACTTTATTCCTTTAAATTAAACAACAGACTAAAATATTGTTTTGTGAAGTGTTTTACTGAAACTAATTGTTTTGGTGCCACATTCATACAATAGATTTTAGACATAATTAACACAATTTTAGTACTGGAAAAATACATTAGAAAAACAAGCTTACAGTGTCAGATATATCTTAAACGGGCTTCAATTCCAGGCAAACTCAAAGGAATCTTTGAAACATTATATCAAAGCTGTTATGCTCCCACCAGTAGATCAGGTAAACATGATAGACAAGGACTGTGATTGATATATTTCTTGGAATATTATTCATACCAAAAAGCTTGTTACAAATCAATTTCTAACCTGAATGAAGGTAAGTGATTAGAAATTAGTCTCTTCTGGAATACATTATTTGAGATATTGTACCGAGACTTTACACATGTCCTCTTGAAAAAAAAAATAACAGCCATTTTGTCTCAATACATTTCATGACAATCTATCCAACTTTTAATATTGTTATGAAAGATATTACAAAAAATTCCTCTTTGTGATGCACGTCACAGTATTTCAAGACACATGGTCTGCAGTTAATGTTTTTTTTTTTTATCAAAGTTGTTTAGTTAACTTAATGAAATCTTGAGATAGAACTGACAGTTTGAGAGATAAAAAAATTAAGTGTTAAAATAAACCTGTTTCATTGTGTATCAGTAATCTTTCTAATTGTTAACTAAAGTATGCAAATACTGACTGAAGAAAGAGTATAGGTTCTCTCTACCTTAGAACTACTTATTTTGGAACACAGGAGAACTAACGGGAAATCAATGTGGCCCTGGAAACTCTAACAAGAAATTAATTTACCAAACTTGAAATGAATTGAAAATGTAAATAGGGATTCTTTAAGGCATACAGATAGTAACTTTGTAAGTAAAATAACTGCACGATGTGATAAAAATCTAATTCCTTAAATCAAAACTACTTGATGCCGAGGTCAGATATGGCCTAGTGGTTAGAGTGACAGACTGAGAATCTGACACCTCTCTGTAAGTATGCCTAACTCACAAATAACCTTATGTACTCACTTTCCTCACTATCAGTTTAAGTAACTGAATAGACACAATAAATTTCACTTCTAATATTGAATTCACACACTCACTGAAAACTCATTAACTTCTCTAAGTGCCTACTCCTATTTATAAATAATGTACCCTTGTCTCTAGATACTAGACAAAGCTTCTCAATTATCACATCATCTTGATTAGCAGCTTCCTCTTGGAAACAACTACATTATAACATTGAAAATATAACTTACAAAAAACATTTTCAGCAGTAATCCCAATATTACCTCACTAGGTTCGATCAGTTTCAGAGACTGAAGTTAGTTTTAAATCTTAAAACTAAGGTTAACAATCATAATTTGAAATATATAAAGTATTTTAAACACTATGGTCAATATGATAAAAACAACTACTGGAAATAGCTAATAACAACATATAGGATCCAACTTATTTAAACAAAAGTATACACCACAAATTTTTGATTAAAATGTTTCTATACACCAGACAAACAATACAGTCATTTATTTTTTTCTTAGCTGTAAATTTTTAAAGTGTTTTATAGTATACCCTAATGCAGATATTAGGTATCTCATACCATTTATTTTGCAAGCAGGATATTCTACACTAATTTGTTATGAATTAATCACACTATCATTCACATATCAAAACTTAAAGAACAACAAGATGGAATGCTCAATAGCTGTGGCTGTAATTATATCTCAAGTCGGTCAAGAGAAGGAGCTATGGGCTAAACGTTTTTACTTGAAAAAACTCCAGAACCATTCTGTGAGCCACTATACCATGGCTAAAAATGTAGATTTACTGTATGTTATTGTTGAGAAGCTCCTAGCATGGCTGAAATGCTCAACAATTATTTTTCGCAATGGGTGGAATAAGTAGCTCAGAGCTTTGGCTCTGAGTGAAATCAAGAGTGTAACACAATAAACCTTCTTCAAGTCCACGAAATAATTTAAATTGATAGATTAACTTAAACTTCTTTTATCACTCGGGATGGGTAATTTTGCTGGTGTTACAATAAAACGATTTTGTCAACATATTGCCACACACCGTCATGCTCTGTCTAATGACTTGAAAACAGTGCTGCAGCATAGTTTCCATTGCTAAAGGCTCCATCATAAGGCTATCATGCCAAATGCTTTATAAGAGGAAAACAGTTTCTCAGTGCCAGTTCAACAGTCAGATAGCATAGAAATACAAAGGTGCTACATCTGGCGACTTGACCAGCTTGTCTTCATACAGAATAGCATGAATATAAGTTTCACTTTCCATCTTCTTGAGGTATGCAACATTGACCAGTTATGTCAGGAAGGCAACTTGTGTACACTGACTTGTGTTACTTTCCAGATGTAGAATCTTGATTTTGTTTCATATTGTTGCCTGGGGCTCATGAATGGCTTTTACAACTGACCTTTGTGTTAATGGATTATCACTTGTTCCGAGACACAACACTCTGATTATTACAGGTGGGGGTATGACTTGTTGCAGGTCTCTTACTGGGTGGTCTTGGTTCCTCGAGTTGATTCAGCCTCTCTTGTTCTCCAATGTCATTCATTAAATACGAGATATTACCTTACTGAAAATTCTAACTTATTGAACTGAACATATCATAATGATTTGAGTGTAGGAACAGTTTGGAAAGAGCTGTTAAATATACTTAAAGAATCAATTTTGGGTGGTATCACTATGTATTAAATGCCAAAAATATCTTAATGTTGTTCACGCGGATGCCGTTCCACCATGACTTTATATCAGCTGTGGTTGTCACGTGCTTTTTGATTTGCATATTCAACGTACTCAGTCCTCTGCAGTATCTACTCGTTTTATGAGGGCAGCAGATAGACAACTAATGCACCTATAATTCCATGTATATCTGAGTTTTGAGGAATTTACAAAAGACATAACCTTTTGATAAAAACATCAGATGCTACGATTATGTTATACACTAGAAAAATACTTAGCACCAACCAAAGCACACATTTTTCACCCTCCAATTATGGAGTCTCGTCGTAGTATGTGTCAGTGTGCAACTGTATTAGCATCAAAGATGTAGTCAAAACCAGGTGGGCGAGACCAAGATCGATATAAATATATATTTTATGCGACAAACCTTATAATATAAACAATAGTTTTGAACAAAAATTAGAGCGACAACAACAACAATAATAATAAGTTAATTTTTTGAATTTTTGGTCGCATAAAAAATATTATTCTAGCTCTTGTTCTCGGTGTCGACAGACTCGCTCTCGGTATCGTTCAAATAAAGGGCGAACTCTCCGTTGACACAACGACTTAATATCAACTTCCGATATCACAAGGTAATGAAAATGGAAGATAAAAATCGATGCATTTATTATTGTTTTGTTTATTTTTTCATGCAAGTTCTAATACCAATTAACAAACACAAAATTAAGTATCAGATGATACGAAAGTACTATCTAGCCTTAGGTTCACCCATCTTAAACCAAGTTAAAAAACAAACACAAAATTAAGTATCAGATGATACGAAACTACTATCTAGCCTTAGGTTCACCCATCTTAAACCAAGTTAAAAAACAAACACAAAATTAAGTATCAGATGATACGAAACTACTATTTAGCCTTAGGTTCACCCATCTTAAACCAAGTTAAAAACAAACATAAAAACAACCAAATACTTGCTCCCTCATTTGAGTGAAATTTCTAGAAACTATAATATACCGTAAAATTATAAGTATAATGACATTTTAACTCCCGATTGTTCGGAACCATTTGTCTTTATAATGTTATTGAAATACTAAAATAATCAGAATATATATACATCTCCCCTTTTAAGGAATTTTCAGCACATTCTATAATAAATGAAAATGCAATGGCCAAGCTTTGGTATTAAATAACATATCAAACTCTGCTTGCATATAATAAAATTGTTTTTTACCAAGCACAGAGTTACACAATGGATTATCTTTGCTGTGCCCACCACAGATATCGAAACTCACTTTTTTGGTGTTAGAAGCTTTCAAACTTACCGATCGCCCACTGGGAGCATATAATAAAATGTCTTTGCCACATTGATATATCATTAATCTTCTGGACATCCGCAAGATTTTTAATGATCATAATAAGGATTGCAAATATACAGAATAACCACGCATACAAAATGCAAGTATATTCGAGTTCTTGATGCTTGAGTTAAACATGTATTTGTCTTTGTTTCACAGTGACGTATACATTTCATCCATTATTTGTTATGAAACTGTATTAGGAAACACGCCAAGATCCTTTGGAATGTGTTACAAACAAAAACGTGCCATTAAAGTAACACATTTTAATAGTGATCTCAAGTATCGTTCCTTCAGTCGAGATAAACAACCCTTTGGCGCCAGCATTATAGGCATGTGACAAGTTGCCAGTAGCAACATAAATATACTCGGCTTTAACACTATAAACCCACTTTTGTCAAGATGAGGAAAACAGTAACGTTCAAGGTCTTACAAAGGTCGCACAAGTGCACTTAAGTATTTAAAGCACAGTTGCTCAATCTATTGACAGCTATAAAACGTATGATAAGTTCTCAAAACATCTGCAAGCCAGGCAACAATGTCTCTGAACCAAATATGATCATTCACTATTCCACTGCAAATCTAACAGCCGGAGTTCAAGGAACATTTAACGCTAACTTACTTAGACGGCCCCTACCATAGCTAGAGCACAACTTTCCCCCGAGTTGTGGACAATCGCAAAACACCCACAATTAACAACAACAAATAATCTGTATAGAGTACATCCAATCTAGAATATTTTATAAATACACGTGTTTCAAATACACGTAGAATAAACAACAAAAATTAAACGTACCTGAAGCACAAATGTTTGAATCCCCCCCACTTTTTAAAAAAATCAAAACATCATATTAATAGAAATTCAGAAAGAAAAAAAAAACCGACACTGTTTGGGTCGTTCTTATCGATTAACGGAACGATCTATGCTCGACTACCTCCTAATTTACCTCTTTTTTTTTATATGTATTTTGTAATGTATAAACAATTGTGCAACAGATGCATTTTTGTTGTTGTAAGGACAAAAGCAATGTTACTAGTGTGGCTGATTAGGAACCGTCTCCCACTTCCTTCGTGCAGGAAGTAGAGCAGCTTTACTGAGGAGAGCTTATTAGCAACCGTCTGTCTTCCACTTCCTTCGTGCAGGAATGAAAGCAATTTTACTAAGGAATGCTTATTAACTCTTCTCCCACTTCCTTTTATCATTAACATAAAACACTCAACGGTGTATGGCCACCGAAGGCTCCCGTTAATTATTGTTATTTAATGTACGTGGTTAATTTTAACGAAAACCCCTTAGAGATGCTGTAGTTTGAAAACTTTTGTTTATAAGAGCCCTGATAGCATCATGTAGGAATTTTGAGCAGGTTTTATATGCTACATAAACGTGCATAAAACCTTTCACAGAATGAATAAATAATCTCAGAAGCTATTCCAAATCAGGGATGGTAGCAATCGTGAGTAGTACCTAGCGTAAAGTCTGAAGACTCAGCATCGATCCAAGAAAGAAAAAACAACAACAACAACACACGCTTGAATGAAAACAAATTAAAACAATAGATGATATCTCATAAACACAGTAAAATTAAGCAACCTTGCGTTACTCAACGCTCCTCAGTGGCAGTGTTATGTCTGCGGACTTTCAACGCAAGAAACCGGGTTTCGATACTCGTGTTGGGCAGAGCATAGCCCAATGTGTAGCTTTGTGGTTAACTAGAAACAAATATTAGTTAAAATTTTAATTACTTTTATATCTTACTATTAAAAACTCATTTTTATATAATTTTGATGTAATTATCTTCTGAAACTAAGAACTTTTCAAAACAGTTTTTACAATAATATTAAAAAACACAAAGTAATTATATTCAAATAGAATGAATTTATTAAGCTTAAAAGTGTGTAACAGTACTCCAAAACACTAAGTCTGTCAAAACTGTAAAAATATATTCGTTGCTTAACACCATAAAAATTATTCTACATACAAAACCTTGCTTTTTAAATTCCTACTGTGCCTGAAGTTTATGTTTTAATCGCACATTTAACTGAAACACATAGAAAGTTTTTAGAACATATCACACACATTTAGTTTCAAAACATTTTCCTCCATCGAAGAAGTTAACTCCATTTTAAACCACATAGTGCACAACACAGCGAAAAAATAAGAATTTCAATGAGAATGTACTTAAAAATCACATGCATGTCAAAGATATATTATAAACATCACGTTAGTGTAGCCTATATAATGTATAAAGTTTAATATACTCTAATCCGTTATAGTGATGGCACACGACGAGACACGCATTCGGCGTGTAATGCTGTTTGAATACAAAGAATATCAAATAAGCTTATGGAAATGTTTTGAACGTTCGTAAGTGTCAACGATGGTTCAGCAAATTTCGTTCAGGTGACTTTAGCCTTAAAAACTGTAATGGCAGGGGCCGACATGTTGGAATTAATATTGATACTCTAAAGACGCTTGTTGAGTCTAACCCAAGGCAACGCACTGGTGA